GAAGGTTATTGGATCAAAGAGTTCAAATTAACATACTTGGGCTTGCAAACATAGGTTTGCGCCACGAATGATCATTTTCTCAAATCGGGACAAAATTTAGCGCTATGTTAAGTAATCGTAAGTGGACTTATATAGAAGTCTCACCTATTTTGAGGTTGGTCAATAGCAATCTATGCACTTCATGTTTTGAGACATGATATGTAATCATGCTCCAATAACACTTGGTACAATAAGAATGTGATAAGATGAAGAGGAAATGAGAAATAAATAAACCATATTTGAACCAAAAATTTAATCAAACTATTATTAAAACCATTCATCCATTTTTATGGAGTTAAACTCAACACTATGGATCCAATGATGTTAATAAAGTTCATGATCAAAATTTTAATCCAAGATCAGCCAGAATATATACAAAAATAAAATTGTATTTAAAAATAAAAGAAAATGGTTTTTTTAAAAATGATTATAAAATGGAAATAAGATAGAAAAATAGCAACTATATTTAAATGGTTTTTGTAATTGTTTAAAGTACAAAACAATTTTTAAATCAATTTAAATTGTTCAAATAATGAAGAAGAAAAAAGATCAAAAATAGCAAAAATTAAGATAAAATTCCACACAAAAAGTCAGAAGGTCAGAAACAATGAAAATGATTTTTATGAAAAAATTCATAATTAAAAAATGTCAGGAAGTATTTTTAAAACAATTAAAATAAAGCAAATAAGGCAAAAGTTATATAAAAAAAACCAAAATAAAAATATTCAAAAAGTCATAAATAATTCAAAGTATTTTTGTATATTTTTTTCATAATTTTTGGATAAAAAATAAAAGAGTTATGCGTTTTTGAAATTTAAAATAATTAAAATATAAAATCAAAAAATAAAAATAAAACTAAAAAGATGTGGACCATCATATCATAGTTAAAACGCGTTAGTAAGCTGATCAAGTGGAGCAGACGCATTATGCTTGATATGAACCTTATTTGAAAATGCATTGGATCAAAAAAGGGCAACCAATAAAAATAAAACAATTGGCGCGCTATCATTGATTGAGACGAGACATGTCATCGTCTTCAACCTCCAAACGCCCTGCAATGGAGATTTCATGAGTTTCTTCAAATGGAAAAATTAGAATCTCATACTAGTATCATTGGATACGTCTCTTCAAGACGATCCTAACACCACCATCGCGCCAAATTTATATAAAGTGTGCAGAGAGATATGGATAAAAACTCAGAAAATAGCAAGCACCTTTCAGTTAATATTTCTCTCTCAATTCTCAATGGATTTAAAAATTATAAGAAGCACAAGAATCAGGAGAAGGAGTAGAGTAAGTTAGTGCTTTATTTGGATCCAAATGGTGGAGAATTCTATATGTTCGAAGTTCAAGTATAAAACTCTGAAATTGGACTTCTGTAGCTTAAATTATGGCTCATTCTGCTTGCTTTAGGTATTGGAGAGTTTGTATGATGATGAAGGATGATGAATGTGCAAAGAATTTTGGAGGAAAAAGCTTAAATCTCATAAACTAATTTCAAAAATTTGAAGTTCGTGTGAGGTTTTGACATGGTGTGTTTGACTCTCAAAACTTGAGGAAATGAATGAGGGATGGTCCTCTATTTATAGGAAAATGAATGGCAATGAAAATGGGAAGAAACAAAGAAGTTTGGAGGGAAATTGAGTGGAGGCCGAGCAGGAGTGAAATGTGACTTCGATTTCATCAAAACTCATCCAATCTTTGCGCTTTGAAGCGCTAAACACCTTTGGAAAGTTTGTTAATCAAGTTTAAATCAAAAACACACACAAATCTTGTGATTAGAAGCCACATTATGGATTTCAAAATTCTGACTTAGTAAGAAATTCAGTTTCAAGTTGCCAAATTCAAATCATTGGCATTCTCAGCTCAAGGGGTCTCAGGTCATGATTCTTGAAGCTTTAGAAAGAGGAGGTTTCAAGCTTTACAATGTGAAAAGAATGGGATCAAATGGATGTTTGAGCTGAAAATTATGATGAGTCAAAGTTGAGAAAAAGAGGTTGACTTTCCATACTTAAAAAATTTCTAAGTTTTTCTTCAAAAAAATGACTTATAATGTCTTGCATCCAAACATGGTTTTCCACTTGAAATTTTCTCTTGACAAAAAAATATGGCATGAAGTAGACCTCTTGAATGATATTTTGAAACTTGAATCGTTCAAAATCTCCAAAAATGAGAGAGTTATGACTTGTTGAAGTTGGCAGAAATTCAAGAAATGACCTATAATCTTTTGCATCCTTAGGGCATCTTCCATTCATTTTCAAGCTTTGCACATAAAAGAAAGGTTGAAGGTCACATCTTCAATATTATTTTGGAAAAATAATGGGCTCAAGGTGATAAAAATTGATCAATTTATGGTCATTTGAAGTCACATAAAGGAATTTGAGGGTCCAACTGGAGGACTTGTGATCTTTCTTCATCATCAAGTTTCTTCCACACAAAATTTCTTTGCAACTTTTGAAGTGATTTGTTAATAACTCTTTCAAGAGAAAGATGTCTTTGGAATCATCCAAAAATACCAAAAGATGAGCAAGATATACCCCCTTTGAAGTTAAAAACCATAGCTCTAAAAGCCAGAAAATGCCTTGGGGAACCTTTGCAACTTTAACCAACCTTCTTGCACAAATACTTTTGTTATGTGATTATAAGTTTTTAAGGATGATAAGGAGAAACTATTGCAACCAAAACCACTTCCACATCTTGAGAATTGAAAGAGATATGCACTTGTGATCATTGAAATCAAAGACTTGTCCAATTGAGTCAAACTTCTTCAATCAACCCTTGTATTTTTTAACTAAATCTTGACAACTTGAGGTATGATGAATCATGAAATACTTTGTCATGATATTACTTTCAAATATATTTAATGATGAGGCTTGAATATCAATGAAGCTTTATTGATAAGGGCATAGAAATGAACTCATGAATCCATAGATCAATCATGATAGAATGTATTGTGCTTTCATCTACATCATCAACAATTGGGGCAAACACTTATTGTATTTATTAGTTAAAGCAAAGTTAAAGATAGGGAGAAGAACCAAATCCTAATGTGTGATCTTATTGTGATTGAATTGATATGATGAAGGGATCTTACGGACAAAAATTGGGGCACAACAATACTCACAACCAAAGACTTCCTAAAAATCATAAGTGGAAAAATATATGTAATCAATGACAAGATCGACTTCATAGTACGCCACTTCATCCCTAGCCAAACCAATCAACCACATGACTTATTCCTTTATGGTGATCTTGATGCAGAATAATCTAACTTAAGTTTTTGCTTACAATTCTTTAATTCATTATTTTCTAGTCATGTACTTTTTAATTCAACAAAGTTCCTTTTGTAATTTTAAATTTTTAGTAATAATATGAGTGATTGCTTTTCCATCTCTAAATGTCTAAATTGCCATCGTTTGCATATTTATTTCTCGTAATACATCTTTATCTGCCTTTTTGATTTTGACTAAGGGGGAGTAGGGCATACTCTCCATTTAACTCATGGAGAGTTTAATCTCTCCAAATATATATGTACTGTTTTTCTTTACCAACTCCCTTAGGAGATGTGTTGTCATCATCAAAAAGGAAGAAAAAGTGAAACCTTATTTTGCAAGTGATGTATTTTTAATAAGGATATCAACTTTTAAAGATGACAACTAATGTCTTGTGATAAGTCAAGCATAAACAAATAAGCGAATAAGGATGCATACATAATCTTTAGTTTTTTATGAACTTAACTATTCGATGATGGAAATCAAATAAATATAAATAAATTTCTTTCTCAAGCTACTCAAACAAGTGTCCACAAAAGACAAAGCATCTGACAAACACTTGAAGTATTGTGGCACCTCCTAATAATTGAAAGAGAAAATTCAAGATCTAAAAATATATATAACCATAATATGTAATCATAATTATCAAGGGGATTATTTGTGCTCGAACAACCAAGGGTTTCTTAATTAATTTTTGGGTGAAGAATCCCATACTATTACGCAAATTTTTTACAATTTTCATTTAGTTGAAGAAATACCGGATACATTACAAACTTTTGATGAAATATCGAACATTTAGGAAATTGTTAGGGAAAATCATGAAAATCTGTAAAATTATGGACGAAACACTAGATTTTTGAAAAATCTATATATATATATATATATATATATATATATATATATATATATATATATATATATATATATATATATATATATAATATATATATATATATATATATCAATTTTTTTATAAATATCTAGTAAGATATATTACATATCAGATATTTTAAAAAATCTAATACATACCAAATTTTTCAAAAATTTTGAAATATCTTATTTGCAGTGGTCAATTTCAGAAAATCACATAAGTTTTTTAACATTTTTAACAAATTGTACCCGATAAAAAAATATATATAATGCAAAAGTGCTACAATATAAATAAAAAATAAATTACGTTGACTTTCTAACTTCTTCCTAGTGCCTAAATATGTTATGTATATGTTGATTTTCATGCTTTTACACCTTCATTATAGTTATGTCTTCGTTAGTATGTGACAAGAGGCAACAAATAATTGAGTTTCAACTTCACTTGAAATCAATGATTGTTGTCAACAAAACAACTATAATAATTTTGTGTCTACTCAAAGCTATGTTAAGGTTCCAAAACAAAGTTCAATATGACATTGTATCTAGAAGCAATAGGATGACTCATAAAGAATCATGATCGACAACTCACAACCCTCCACACCCAAGCTAGTTTACCTACGGCGCACTCTTAACTTCTGGTATTGTGCCATAGAACATATTGGAAACAAATATGTCATTATTTGATAATTAGTAATGTACATGTATTCAAGTCAAATTGATATACATGTTTGTTGTTGTGTTTTCTAAATGAATGACTCTATTTGTCCAAGCAGTAACTAATATTTATTTATATGGTTTATATGGTGCCAATTAAGTTTCATGAACAAACAGAACAGATATAGGAAATACATACAACCTCAAAATGCTTCTACTGTATCAGAAAACTCAAACTCCCAATTCAAATATATGATGTTGTTCCATAGATCCATAACATGCTCAGACATGTGTTTCGACATACTCCTTACAGTTCATACTAACATTTTTTTGAAATATAGAATAGACACAACATATGATTTGAGTTTAGGAACAGAACATTCATCAATGTCAATTCACAGTTTACCATCAAAACCTATGGTAGCAACTTCTCAGAAGCAAACAATTTTTCTAGATCTCTATCTTTCAAAACAACAACTATGTATCCAGAGAGTATATTATATTTCATCATGTCTTTCACAAATTTTCTTTCATTATCTTTTTAAGGACCTAATACATGGCCATCTAAGTCCTTAACTAATTATATAATTATTAAATCCCACCTAACCTTAACCTTCAAACCACTACCGTTTGACACAATTCTCAACATTAATGGACATTTAACTTTAATACTATAACTTCAATAAGAATTCTTAAAATAATTGTTCTGGTATTTTTTCTTCTCACAACTCTTAATCAATTTACCTCTCCTATATATGATCTCATTTGTGGTATTAGGACAAATAGTAACAAGGACAAATAGTAACAAGAATACAATATTATTTACCAATGGACTGTGCCCTTTCTAACACAACAGCTCAAGAGGAAAATATTTATCATTCACAACATTAATACACAATTTTAAAAATTAAACATGTAAAGCATAAATCATTAGTGGTGAAAAAACTATGTAAAATCTGAAACAGAACCAACAAGATTTGGACCTCACAAATAAAACATAATGAACTATAGAGTTTTTTGTTGTCTACAAAATATCTGATATACGGACTTTTTTCAAAATTCCGAAACTTCTCAATGTATCTTTGATAGTTTGAAAAACCCAGTAGCAATATACTAAAAATTTTAAATACATGATAAATATATAGTCAATTTACATAAAAGTTTAGTCTCAACGAATTTGTAATAATAAAGGTTGCAGTCCATAAAAGATTTTCATAAAACATTAGAATTACATGTATAGTGTCAAGGGATTCTCATCATGGTTGGTCAGTCCATATTTTATTGTTGTGTGCGCTTAGCTTCTATATTCAACAGAAACAAATTGACTAAGATTTCTGAAATCCCATATGGCTCATAAACCCCCCGCATGTGCTATCCACACAACTAATTCTTTAATTAAAGTAGTGGGTGATAAGGTTAACAAGATTAAAGATCAACCACCCATTTAAGAATCATCAGCATCTAAAATTATTAAAACAGCTTGGTTACAATGTTTTTATACCATCCAAAACAACATTATTCAATATTTTAGATAAAACATAGGTTAACACATATTCAGGCTGTCTTATCATAATCAATTTAATAATAATAGTTTATGATTTGAACATAATTTCCATCAGTATTAAGTCTTGTCCACGAGCCAATTACGTGTTAATATAAAATACAACTCAAATTTTGTTTGTAGGACTCATGTGTTAAAGTGACATTTGAATTTAAACAACAATATCAAAATGTATGAGGCGTTTCCAAGACCAAATGGCATTGAAGAAACCATCAATCAGGATCACCACAGAATCAATATGGCGTCCGAGCCATTACACCGAAAGGAACAATTTATCCCTCAGAATTGGTAAATGGACGCAACACAGTTATTAATTTAACAACAAAATCATAAAATAGGCCTCAGTGTGTGTAACAATCAGATCCTTGATTAAAAATCTCACTGAAATCCGCTAAGATTAAAGTATACTATCATCATAAGCCAAATCAATTCTCAAAAACAGAAAGAAAAAAAGCACAAATTCAATGAAGAAAAATATGTGTGCTCAGACAGCCAAGGGTTTGTAATCAAGATGATGGGTGAAGATTCCCATATCAGAAACTCTAGTCCACAATACTATCATCACCGCACAATATTCAACATCAAAAACACAAAAACAGAGAAGAAAATCAAAACGGAATCCTACTGAATTGAAGATTCAGAACTCGAAAACTCACGAATTCGATAAAACTCACAAAATGTAAACCAGTATTAGACCTAAGTGTTTAAGAAACGAAGACGAGGTTGAAATATATAGGCAGTGAACTGAGTGCAGATCCCCAAATTAGGGCTTATAAATGAGTCATCGACAGAACAGCTAGGTTTCGGTACTCATAAGTGGGCTGGACCTTAAGATTCAAATCCAAGGCCCGTCTAACTAAGAGATTTATCTTACAACCTCAAAATTAAATTTGACATCCCTATATTTTCATAATCTTAAAAATATTCCTGATAAAAAAAAGTAATATTTCTGAACTAAATTTTCGGTATCATGTTAGAAATTTCTGATATGAACGAAAAAAATTTGTAGTTCAGTTAAAATTTTTGGTAAATTATAATTTTTTTCGGAAATTTCAAAGTCTATCATTTTGTACTAGAAATTTAGTTGAAGGTGAAATTTTTAGTAGTGTGTTGACTAAATTTTTTTTAATGATCTGAATTTTGTTGACAGTTTTATAGGATTGTGATTTAACCGATAATTTTATGTGGTCTAGAATGAATTTAAAGTTGTATAAATAGGGGTATATGTTATAGAGAAAGACATCCCAAAAAATTTGTCTTCCTCAATTTCTGATTAAGGCGGAAGTGTATTTCGACAGAGACAAATCTCATGTTGAATTTAAGCTTCTGGATGGCGCCATACCTCTCACCAACTTGACAGACAAGTTGAATGAATTAATGTCTAATATCGATAACAAAAGGGTGAGAAAGATCGAGTTTCGTGAAGATTTGATTGATAGTAATGGAAAGGTTAAATACAACCTCATTGAGTTGAAGACCAATAAAGATGTGACAATCATGTAAAAATTATTTTGTCGTAGGATAACTAAGGGGTCGATCGAGTTTGATGTGCATATTTTAATATTTGTAGACGACATAATCATCATGTTGAAACGTCTAGAATCATTTGGTAGTATATATATTTTCATGTCTAGTTATTTTTAATTCATGTTTAATGTATTTTTTATATCATGTTCATCTTCGAATCGAAACATGTAATCAGCAAAATATTATGCAATAAAAAGTACTGTGATAAGTAGTTTGAGTCTCAAAATATTTAAAAAATACAATAACAAGTACCATGTAAACCCCTCACCATTCGGGTTTACCAAACCCATGAGGTTATCCACAATAACAATGATCAACTAGAGGCACTCATGGTCATCTGTTCCTGGTGGAGGTGGTGGTGGCGACACGTCGTCAACCTGTACCTCAGCATCGGAAGACCTTACAGTAGATGGTATGATGTGAGGGTGTGATATAGTGAGATACCACTTTACGTAACCATCGTCACACTGCAAAGGATACTGAATCCTCACTGCGTTAGATCTAATGGCACAAGAAGAGCTGATGATGTTACTCTAAAACCATCTATCAATGCCCCCCATATAGAGCCTCAGGAACTACAACAAATAATATATTTCATGACGAAACATTTCACCTCACCCAATAAAAATCTTAAGTGTAAACCATAGACGCGTCATATTATATATATATATTTTTAAAATAATATAAATTACCTCGTATTTGCTTGAAATTAAGGGGAAATGTATTTAAATGACGCGTCTTCAAAACCCAACAACTACACTTTTAACTTTTTAATTTTAAAAATTTTATAACAAGACTTTACCATTCAGTTTTTATCAAAAACCGGGGTAAAAAGTAGCGCAGTTCTGAAAATATTAAAAAAAAATCATTTGTTAGGGATCCAACCCATGACTAATATTACCTTGTAATTTTTTTTATTAACATATTACCTCAGTTTTGCTAAAAACCGAGGGGTAAAGTATCATTTTTTTTTATTTACGACAGATTTGATGAAAAAATTAAGTAAAGAATCTTTATTGTCTATTTATAAAGTAACAATGGTGTGATCAGTGGATCTGGAACTGACTGTTTAACGCTGGTTCGCGAAATGTCGCGGAAGCAAGAGTCGCCACCGTCTTTTATTTTCTCCAAATGGAAAGGACAAAAGCACAGAAAAATTCCTTATAGAGATTGCTCTCGGTTCGGGAGGTATATTATAGAAAGGGAAGGTATTAGCACCCTTTCTATCCATGGTTATCCATGGGCTCTTAGATACTTGCTCATTGTGTTTTCAAAATGTTTTGTTTGCTTTTCAATTGTGGGTTTTAAAAGTTTCCTTGAAAAATTCCAGTTCGACTCGTACGTCAGAGTGTTTGAAAAGTTTGCTTTGAAAGCTTTTGAAAAGTGTTGGTGTGAAAAGATGTTTTGATTTGTTTGAAATTAGAGCAAGTATCCTTGAGAACCTACCTACCCTAAGGAATTCGTCTGTGTAAGTGTCCTTAAAGTAGTGCCATCCCACCATTGAGAGGTAGGTAGCACCACCGTTGGAGGTGTTCGGGTCAATTCGAGGTTCGGGACATGGTGATCACCGGAGCAATGGGAAGACACCTTAGAAGCTACCCTCATGCCAGGTTCCCGGATCATGAGGACTTACTAAGACGTCCTCTACTCGAAGATCACCTTTCGAGGCAAGGCAACAGTGAGGCGTACCCTAGGGATGGTGTGTGCGAATTTGTGTGTCAGTTTCATTGATATTTGTCTTGTCATGTTAAAGTGTTCTACGCTTGATTTTAATTAGGGCCATTCATTCTTGCATGCTTATTTAACAGTTATAAAGTATTTGTGGAAAAATAAATCTACGACTATTACAAATGGCGCGGGTCCACATCGCCAAAATTAAACCGGACCCGATTTGACGGAAAATAAAGAAAGCGAAGTAAAAGTGCGAAAAGTATAAATTGTTACAAGGCTTTGGGACGGATACAAAAATTAATTAAACGACATAAAATAAAATACGCGAAATTAATAATTAAAAATATGGGCGTTGGACCCTTTTGCAAAAATTAAAGTTAATGAAGAATTAAAATTAAAATTAAATGTTTTTGGTATTTTTGTATTTTTTAAGATTTAATGAAAAAAAGTAATTAATTAAAATGAAGCGTCAAACCCTAATTCTAATGTTTTTTAAGTTATTGTGAAAATATCAAGTTTTAACCTAATTTAAATCTAAGTTTTTTACTTATGTACATTTAATTATAAAAATAAATAAATAAATGAATGATATTGTGATAAGAAAAAAAGGAAAATTTAAAAGGTATAAAAATTATCAATTAACCTAATTCTATATTTTTTTTGGATTTTATTAAAAGGAATTAAAGTTAAAAACCTAATTAAACTAAATAATTTACATATTAATTTATAAGAAAAAAAATAATTAAAATGAAATAAATATTATATTTTTGCCTTTTCTGATTTTTGTATTATGTTTTGCATTTTGTAAAAAAATAAT